CTGATATCCATTAGATATGGTTCGTGGAACTAGAACAGTCTACCCCAGCGAGTGAAATAAAGGGTTCAGTTCGACATTCCACCTGAAGACACCCGGAGTGTACAACGGCCGAAACGTTGTGATAAATATGTCAACAAAGATGAGGACGATAGTCCGAACAATGTATATAGTATATATAATACCTCATCTCAGAAATAGGGTTAGATTTTATCTGTAGTTGAATGTATATAACTGCATTCAAAATATAATAATTTGAAGCCATAAAATTGTGTTAAGAGCATTTAGATTTCGACATTAAATAACCCATAGAGATGTTGATATGTCGCTAAACAAATCCCACCAACCAACCAACTCTGTGACACGATTCCAAGAAAAATAATTGTACCCCAGAGAGAATTAAAACATGCACCCACACGTTCATTTAAACTGTCACAATAGGGCAGATTATTTTTTATACTATTGTTGACCCAATACAAGGCTCAAGAGCTAGTCAAGGCAGAGTGTTACTGAATGAGGGTGTAAAGTGGGGAAATAAGAAATGCACATTCTGAGGATACTTAGGATATATAACTGACCACTCTTTTAGATCTTTTTGCAGAAATCCAGGTGTTCCCTATTCTTGGACTTTCTAGTTTCCAATTTTCATCAATGACCTTCCTGATGTCATCAGTTGCCAACTCGGTATCTATGCCGAGGATACAACTATTTACTCCTGTCTCTATAAGAAGTCTGATCAGTTCGATAAGGTCAAATTGGCAGCTGATCTAAAAAAAAAAAAAAACTGTTGTTAAATGGGGTAAGGAGTCGTTTTCCCCAAAACGAAACTGCTTTCTTTTAATCATCTGACAGAATCATTTTTACCTTCCATTAACATGGCTAATGCTAATCTCCAGGAGAGGGAATCATTGCAACTTCTCGGATTAACATTTTCAGCTGACATGAAGTAGAAAGAATATATTGAATCAATGGCTGTAGCTAAGAAAGATGGTTAGCTATGTTGTGCTAGACATTTTTTTCTCTCCAGAATCTATCTTACATACTTATAAGATCACTATTCGTCGTTGCTTTGAATATTGCTGTCATATCTGGTCTAGTGCTCTTGCTATATATTTAGAAATTCTTGACAAAACCCAAAGAATCTGAAATATTGTTGGTCCTGACCTCGCATCTCGGCTTCAGTCACTTTCCCACCGCCGGAACGTTGCTTTCCTGTGCATTTTATATAAATACTTTTATGACAATTATTCTGATGTGTTTTCCTCTTTAGTACCTCGACTTCATGAATTTAAGCGCAGTACTAGATTGTCAACTAGGTCTCATAATTTTACTATTGAATTTGCTAAATATAACCGTCTGATGTATTGTAATAATTCCTTCTCTCGTACTTCTCGCTTGTGGAACTCTCTTCCAGTTTCTTGCTTTCTTATCCACTATGATGTTCAAAAATTTAAATGCATTGCCAGTCGTTATCTTCTGTCTTCTTAATTTCTGTTCGTTTATTGTCCTCTCTCCTTAACAGTATTTTTCTCATATTCTCTAACACTCAGTAACCCCTTGCATTTTAGCGGCTTTATTCCCTTCCTTCGGATAAAATCAATAAAAAAATCGTCTTTTTCAAACTTGTTCTTTTATTGTCCTTTCTCCGTACGTTTTCTCAAACACTTTCATTCTCAGTAACTTTTTGCATTTTAGCGTCTGTATCAACTTACCTGAAATAAAATGATTAAAAAAAGAAAAAGAAAGAAATATCACCCCCACCCCATCAAATAGCCAAGGAACAGACAACAAATACTTACATAATTTGGTAAATCCAATTCACACCCGGCTTGGACAAGACTTTTTGCTGTGTCTGCATGGTTTCCCATTGCTGCTAAATGAAGTGCTGTATTACCTTGCTAAAAATATTAAAAGAATCTCTAAAATACAAGGAAGTTTTATTATTCGCAAACTAAAAATATACATACAAAAGTAAATGAGTATGATAAAATATCTTTTTTAAATGCTTATCTGAATTGCATTTTGGGTAAGCAAAAGAGTTTTATAGATATTTCCTAAACATCGTTTCGTCTACCACTAGGCGTTAAATATTCACCATTTTGTGTAGGAAGCTCATTGATCAGATTGGGAACAAAAAAGATCGTAGCGTTTTTTAAAATTAATTACAAAGACAATATTTAAATATTTGTGCATTTATTTAACTTCATATATGCAATACGTTTCAGGTGGTTTCAAATAGTTTCAATTAAAATTAATTTTGAGCAATATAAATAAGATTGTTAGAAGCCATTACAGATTTGATGCATTTTGTGCATTTTTAGTTTAATGAGGAGTAGAATCACATGGTGTCAATTAAAATTAATTTTAAGCAACATTAATAGCAATATTAGAAGTCCCATAACGGCAAATTTGATGCATTTTGAGAATTTCTAGTTTAATGTTGATTCTTATGTAATTTGATGAGTATTATATATTATCACATGGTGTCAATTAAAATTAATTTTGAGCAATATAAATCAGATTATTTCGCTATTTTTGAGACCGCTTCACAATTCCATCCTCCCATAACTTGGCATCTTTCTGGGTGATGGACTAGTCTAAGGAGTTTTTATAGACTTCCAGAGAATTGAAGTACTTCCCATTAAAAGATCGAAATAAAGCGTAATGTGAATTTGAAAGGTCAGGTGAGGTCAGTGGTTCTAATAGGACATCTAGGTTAAACTGTGCCAATTTCTACCGGATCTGAAGAGAGACGTGGGTTCTGGCGTCGTCCTGATAGAAGACGACAGCCTTCCTATTGGCCAATTCCCAACGTTTTGCATCTATTTCTGCTTTAATATGTCCTATTGGGAAAATAACTTGTTTGAGTTCAACACCTAATGTTGTAGAAGGAACTCGTAATGGACAATGACATTTTAATCCCACCCGATTCAGATGCTGACTGGCTTTTGGAGGGCTTAACTGTGGCTCATTTGGTTTTCATCCGGGCCCTTTTCGCTCTGTATTGCTATAAACAATATATATTTAATCGTCTTGGATAATTTACAAAAATGGATTGTTTTTGGTGTGTTTGAACAGGGAATTTTCGCCAGAAAATTTAAAGTATCTTTTCCGGTCAATCGTGAAGCGCCCATACATCGTAGCGATTGATTTATTTAAACACCGTCTGTGAGAAGAAGAACACCATGGTGCAATTCACTTCGCCAGGAATTTGTAAAACGACATGATGTACTGCTTGGCATTCGGGAGTCTGATTTGCAAAGAAGCGGTTCGTGAGAAGAAGCAGTCCGAGTGCAATTTGCTTCTTGTTAATGGAATACGAAAGTTATGGAGGATAGTTCGTTCCAGTGTACGTGGTATAGCTGGTCTTTAAAAGACAGAACTGGTGAAACTAACAAATATAACTCGTCAGAATATTTTCAATGGAAATAGCAATAGAGCACCAAGAGAATTGCGTCGTTTTGTCTGTGAGAAAAAAGGTTGTAGGGTGGAACACTATTCATCACCCACTTTTGAACTCTATCAAGACTGTAAAGTGAGAACCAGGCGGCTCTAGCCCAGCTTCATAGAATTAATTTGACAGACAAGAGCCTGGATGGACTTTATTGTCTCTGCCATGAGGGATAAACCTATTGCACTAAAATGATTTTATTTGTATTGCGTTCAACTTAAAACCCGACAAAGATCAATGAGAGTAAAATCAGTTACTTGATTTAATTCCTTTTCTTTGTATGTTCGTTCTTGTGTCGATTCTTGAGCTTAGTTTGAACACAGAAGCAATTAATTTTAACATCATTGATTTTTATAGCGGTCTGCGTAATATATGTGCATGAAAGAACAGTCGAAGTGTATTTGTGCTTGTATACGGAAGAAGACAAATGGTATAAAAGAATTCTTGCAAGAAAAAGTAACGTTTCAATACTTGAAGGAATAAATATGATAGAAAAGACATGACTTGGTTGTGTGTGTGTGTGTAGATGGCTAGGGAGAGGAAAGGAGACGAGGGAGACGATTAGAAGAGAGAGAGAGAGAGAGAGAGAGAGAGACGAGTATGAATGCAGAAGACAGAAAAGATATGTGAGAAAGGTCGTGGAAGTCGAGAACAATAAAAATGGACTTGGGAATATGATTTATAACAAAGATGGCGGAAGCGTTCAATGAAAAAGTGAGCGATAAATAAGCGCTGAAAAAGTGGGAAGAAAATTCATAAAGAAAGAAAAAAAAAAGAAAGAATGAGTATGAGAGGGAGAGATAGAGAAGACATTAGCACTTAGAAAGAAAGAAAGAAAAAGAAAGAAAGAAAGAAAGAAAGGAAAGAATGAGTATGAGAGGGAGAGATAGAGAAGACATTAGCACCTAAGAAAGAAAGAAAGAAAGAAAAAGAAAGAAAGAAAGAAACAAAAACGAGTGTGTTTGAGATATAGATAGGGATTTAAGAAAGAAAGAAAGAAAGAAAGAAAGAAAGGAAAGAATGAGTATGAGAGGGAGAGATAGAGAAGACATTAGCACCTAAGAAAGAGAGAAAGAAAAAGAAAGAAAGAAAGAAACAAAAACGAGTGTGTTTGAGATATAGATAGGGATTTAAGAAAGAAAGAAAGAAAGAAAGAAAGGAAAGAATGAGTATGAGAGGGAGAGATAGAGAAGACATTAGCACCTAAGAAAGAAAGAAAGAAAGAAAAAGAAAGAAAGAAAGAAACAAAAACGAGTGTGTTTGAGATATAGATAGGGATTTAAGAAAGAAAGAAAGAAAGAAAGAAAGAAAGGAAAGAATGAGTATGAGAGGGAGAGATAGAGAAGACATTAGCACCTAAGAAAGAAAGAAAGAAAGAAAAAGAAAGAAAGAATGTATATAAGTCAGAGCGTGAGATGGATGAGGAGGACATTAAACAAAGAAAAGAAAGAATAAATACTTGTAAGAGATAAATAAAGAGGACATTAGCATTTAAGAAAGAAAGAGTGAGTGAGGGAGAGAGGGAAAGAGAGAGAGAGGGGAGACATTAGCATCAAAAAGAGAAAGAAAGAATAAATATGTGTGAGCGAGAGAGAGAGATAGAGAGGGGGAGAGAGAGAGAGAGAGAGAAAAAGAGAAGAACATTAGTACGTAAGAGAGAAATATTCAGACCAGAAAATATTGAAAAACATAAACATAAATGAAACTAAACCTGTAAAGAAGACACGACTGTGTGACACCAGTCAATATCATCATCCTCCTCCTCCTCATCAACACCAGTGCCATGGCCGGGCGTGGTCGTAGGGTTGGTGTGCAGTACCTAATCTGTTCTCCCCACATATCTGGGTAGAAAATCTAAGCGGTATTAATTCATGTATAGCGTGTGATGAACAAGTAGATCTGGCGGAGTCCATCCCTCTCAGATCAAACGATAGCCAATGACCCCAAAACCCGAAGCTTAATCTTGGTCATGGACGTGTAGCCGTTGACACCTCGGCCTTGATGAAGACCTACACCCAGTGAGTCCGTGCCATCACTGCACTGGCTGCGTATGGAGTTCAGTCAAACGCATTGTGTTAAGTGGCTTTTGACATTACAATTATATTCATCTTTCTTTTAACAGTTCTTGTTTTTAATTCTGCTGGGTGTCTAGCTATCTTCCTCACTAGAAAGCGTAGTAGGGTAACCGGTTTAGTCGCCGATGAGCTGATCATACGGTGGGTAGTACAGGGACACACGGCATCAGTAGCACGGGTAGATTGATCTGACATAAAAGACTGCCTGACATGTGTCAGGCAGTAATAACTCTAGTAACATAGGATCTATCATTAACACAAAATTAAAGGCACTTCTACGTGATGTAATGGTTAGCAGGCTTGATCTCATTACATTAATTACAACTGGCTAGTGAGTTCAATCCTCACTGGGTGCTCCATGCTTTTGGCCTTGTGCCTCATCTAGTGTTTAGTAAATCGCTATTTGGGCACTTCAACGTTGGGTAATGGTTAGCAGGTTTGTTTTGCTAGATCGATTACGACTTAATAGTGAGTTCGATCCTCACTGGGTGCGCCATGCTTTCGGCCTTGTGCTTCATCTAGGCTATGTTTAGTAAATTAATACTGACCGACTTCAGAATGAGACATTTGGTGGGCAAGGCTTCAATTCACATTCCCACGATCGTGAATCTGCAATGAAGCTGTTAGTTTCTGAGAGGAATATATGTAACAATGTTTGTGAAGTAGAGAGCATGTTATGGTTGATGTCTAGAGAAAGGAAAAGTGCCGAGGAACTGGCCCCTGCCATTGCAAAAAAGGAAGAGCAAGGAAGTTGCGGGATGAGTACTTTTTCATTCGCTCGTGAATCTTTAATTAGAGAGAAAGCGTAGAGAGTTTCTTGTAAAAAAAAAAAAGTTGATTCTCCTCCTTCCTCAGTTTTTGCCTGTTAGCAAACAAGTGACTCGAAATTGCTATATAGTAATAATACAAATGATAATAAGTCTCTCCTCTTCACAGACAAGTAGTCGGTAAAATCTCTCTACAAAGAGCAATAAAAGTAATCAATACAGGCCATGCATGTTTTGTCTTTTTAACACTACGAAAAAAAAATTTCTCTTGGTGAAAAGAGGGTTAAAGTTATTTTCATTAAGAGGCGGAAACAGTCCTTATTTGTTATATTGGTCTTAAAAGGGTTCTGGAAACTAATGTTTGGAGGTAATCAGCCCACTACATAACAGAGACACATTCCCAACCACTTATGATGTCGTGACAATGGTGCATGTATATATTTAGTCTCAGTTCAAGGCATCAGTTTTATTTATCCTTTATTTTTTCATTTACATGAGATAACCATTAATTATCCTGACCAAATAAGGGAGACGATTTTTGCCCATACATTGTGGGGTTTTGAAGACCAGCCACTGTCAGATAGTAACAATGCCAACGAAATAAATTCTTTAAAACGGGAAATTGAGTAATAAAATGGCTTTGAGCATCGAATGAATTTATTGGCAATTTTTGAACAATGTTTGAACTATTTCAGATATCGTAGCATCAATGGAAGAAGATGGTCATTTAAGGCAATTAACTTCCAGCCGAATTCTTTTTCTTCCCATTTGTCAATGATAATGTATTCCTCACTTTTTCATCATTAGAATAATACAGAATTTATGAGTTGTTTTCTGAAAAGAATTCCACTGAACCTATTTACACACACACACACACACACACACACACACACACACACACACACACACACACACACACACATATATATATATATATATATATATATATATATATATATATATATATCGAAGACATTTTCTGTTCCAACTATCCGCCGATAGCTTAGCTTTGATGCCAGATCGGTCGAGGTTCACTACCAGCTTGAAGCAATCGGTTGTCTAGCCACACTGATGAGCTGTGATACAACAAAATAGGCTGATATGTGAATGACTATTTACGCTTTCTTTCTCGGGAAAGGGTAATTTAAAAAAAAAAAGTGGCCGCTGCTGCTATTAACGCGTCGCTCATCAATTACGAATTAATCCCTCTTCGCCTCTGGCGTCTGTATACATCTCGTATATAATACGTTAAAATTTCCTTTTCTCTGCTTAGGGGTAAGATGTCTGACTGGTACCAAATCGGTTGAGTTTCGATCGATCGTCTAGCCACACTGATGAGCTGTGATTCAGCTAAACAGGCTTGTATGTGGATGACTATATATATATATATATATATATATATATATATATATATATTATTTTCCGATTTCTTTTTGAATTTGTAGGTCCGATGAATTGGATCGTGATTATGATTCCAATGTAATAAATTATAGTCATGGAATATTAGTGTTTGAGCCTTTTATATTATATTCTTACTCTGTCGTGGAAATTGAGTTCAACCTGGATTCTATCCTCTTGGGAATATATATATATGTATTGACCACTAATATTATCTATCTATCTATCTATCTATCTATCTATATATATATATATGAAAATAGACATTGAGGTTAACGCCTGGCGGCGACAGTCTGTTTCATGCTTAAACGCAACCTTCAGGCCATGCGTGTTTTGCTTTGGCTTGATTATTTACATATGCTGGTCAATGGTGCATCATGGGAAGCAGGTCTGTTTTATTATCCTAATGGTTATTGGGTGGGTGGTTGTAGTTATGTTTCAAATTATTCTAGAGGCTATTGAGTAAAAATAGTTGTGGATTCGATTGCTCTTATTTGTAGCTATTTATAGCATTGTTAATTTTTTAAAACTTAATATTCAGTATTGACTAATTAATTAGTTGTTGTTGATTGTTCCTATTACGTTTTCTTGTGTTTTATATGCATTCATAGTTTGTTATATATATATATATATATATATATATATATCATGTTGCGTTATTTTTTTACTGAAACGTATATTAGAATTGATTCTTAAATACACAAACAGATATGCATATATATATATATATCTATATTCTATCTATATATATATATATATATAATGAAATATGCGTTAATTTTACATTATTGTATATATATATAATTAAATATACGTTAACTTTTATTATTATTATTATTATATATATATATATATATATATATGAACGATAAAATATAGTTTTAAGACATGTTATATCTATGGGTTAAAGTGCTCAACATCAGGGACAGAGCGTATGTAAATATAATAGTTGATATTAAATTCAACATCCATGGCGACAGACGGTTTTATGCTAAACGCAATCGTCAGGCATGATTGTATTTATCATGAAACAGACTGTCGTCTCTGGGTATTGACTTCAACATTCACTCTCTCTCTCTCTCTCTCTCTCTCTCTCTCTATATATATATATATATATATATATATATATATATTATTCCAAAAGTTATTTTTCGTGGATACACGCATTTGAGTTGACATATAGGAAGAAAGAGAGGGAAGGAAAACGATATAAAGGTTAGAAAAACAGGAAGAGAAGGCGTGAGAGGGAAAAAGAGAAATAAAAATATAGAAATAGAAAGAACGTAAGATAAATAGATAAAGTAAGAAAGAAAAAGAAAGAAAGAATAAAGCGAGTAAAAGAAAGCACGCGAGAGGAAGAGAGAGGGTGAGAGGGTGCCAAAAAAGAAGCGTGCGAAAAAGAAAATACAACGAGAGTGAAACGGAGAGAACGACATAGAGATAAGGAAAGAGAGTGAGAGAGAGAAAGAAAGAGTAAGAGTTTGCAAGGAAGAAAGAAAGTTACACTCTCTTTTGACTGAGTGAAAATTGATGGGATTGAATTGAGAAAAATGGTCGAATATAATGAAATAAATTCATTTGACTTACGAAGTTTTGAGCGTTGACACTACAGCCATAATTAAGAAGTTTTCTGACAACATCTGCGTGTCCATGATTTGCTGACAAATGGAGCGGTGTCATTTCCTTCTAGAAAAACAAAAATGAAAAAGACATAAAAAAGAAAGTAATTATTAAAACCAGATCTATAATACTGATACATATTACAGTGTTACTACCACAAATATCAATTGTTCCTCTTAAAAGCTACAAGTACGTGCTTGAAATTCAGCCCCAAATTCACTTCCTAAACTTAGGATTTCTATGAACAAACTTCAGAAATTCTTTGGCAAACGATGTGCAATGTGAGTCGAACATTAGGCTGATATTAGGAATAATAAGTATACTTCATTACTCTTGGTCTTTTGATTGGTGTGAACATCGTCAGCACACCTCATAACAAAGTAATTACTGTCCAAAATTATTTGGAGGAAAAAATATATGCATATAATATGATATTGAATGCTTGTTGTGTTTAGGTAGAAAACACCTGTCTCCTGGTATTATTTTCCCGGTAATAATTATTGCGGACTCAAATGTGAGTCAGAGTAATAAATGAGTATCACAAAATATAAAACAAACGACGATGCATGCATTAGGAAAATAGTTACAATTACAATAAAAGAAGAAAACTTTCAAAGACTAAAGAATGAGTTTTGGTGTGTGTGAAATTTGTGTAGGCCTACGTGTGTGAAAAGGAGCAAAAAAGTCACGAGATAAAAGTAAGACATTGAATATGAACGTGTCCCAGTGGGGAACACTTTTCTCCACGTGCGACTACATCTGACAGCCAGCGTTGTAAAAGAGGATAAACGATGAATGAGAATATCATTACCTATTCATAGGCTTAAGAAGCGTCACCTAGTGACGGTTTCTTTTAACAAAATCAAGCGGGATAACCTACAATATCACATAATGATACACTCATGTTAATAGGATTATAATGTTTAATATTAGAAAATCGAATAACAAAGTAGTAGAGTAATGTGTTTCATCCTCTAGATGAAGTCCTTTTAAAGGATGGAATGAGTTGCACAGAAAATTTTCCATTTTATCATTCAATTGTTTAATAATGTTCCGATAGATAGAAGTATATATATATTGTAGCGGGTATAAACACATTTGATAAGGTTTTAATAAGCTCCTAGCACATTTGACTCGCTAACAATGTTTTGGTAGACTCGCTCAAAGGAGAAATAAGACAGAATTTGAACAAGGAAATATTAACAAATATATAGACAGGACATTTTACAAAAGGAAAAACGAGAAATTAAATTAAGTGTGAAAAACTACAAGCCATTTTCAGTGACTATAATTGAGTACATACATTTTGCGAGTGTGAAAAGATTACGTATTTTTTCGCTATGAAAAGTCACCGAGAAAGAGATTGATTCTTTCAAATCTCGCGCCACCTGTAATAATCGCCAGGGGTCGGTAATTTCAAAATTTCACCGCCTTTGATTATCATCAGGGAGCGATAATCTAACAATAATATATTCTCCTGTGTCTAATATCTAAATAACACATTAAGTCGCCACATACATTTCAATTAAAAGATATATTTACTTACCAAAGTTTCTGCATTGGAACTAGCTCCATATTCCAAAAGCAGATCACAGACCTCTGTAAAACCGTTTTCACTTGCGATATGCAAGGCAGTTCTTCCATCCTGAAAGTAAATCAATGTAAAGTATTTACAAGAGAACAGTAAAAAAAAAAAATAGATAAAATTTGGTACCAGTTTGACAAACGTCATTAACAATTTTATCCTTGGAATAGGAGGTCAATATTCAATTTCAAATTACGGTTACTTTTCACTGAATCATTGGATTAGAATGTAGACACCAACCGGACTCCGCGAAATTATTGCATACGAAATTACTTGATAATCATAGCTTCGACTCCAATGTTTTTTTAATCATTTCACTTTAAGCAAGGTAATAAAGCCACTAAGATGCAAGGAGTTACTGAGAGGGAAAATGACGAGAAAACTTTACTGAAGAGAAAAGATAAAAAAAGGATCAGAATTGAAGGAGCCAGAAGATGCATTAACTCTTTGCCAACTGTAGTTGACAATAAAGCAAGTAGCTGGAAGCGAGATCTACAGGCGACAAGCGTGATAAAAAAAAGAAGCTATTAGAGTAAAAATTACGGTTATTTCTAGTAATTTCAACAGTAAAAGGATGATACTTATCTGCCAATCTAGTACTATACTTCATCAGAACACTTACCATGAAAATATTTCTAGAAAAGGCAGAGTGAAGCTACATTACAATAATAATAATAATAATAATAATAACAATAATTATAATAATAATAACAGAAAATATACCCTTTGTTTAAAAAGAGATGAGGTAACCATTTAATCATTGAAGGTAGTAAACTGAACTGGCATGGATACAATAATAAGCATGGCTGGGCGGGAAAAGGTTATCTATGTGGAACTGTGCAAGATTTTGACGGCACAAACGGAGGACATTTCCACAAATTAGAATTTGTCATAGATAAACGCACCCCCACTCGATCTTTGAGGTTCAAACAGATCACCCAATCTAGGCCATTATGCCGAATCTGGTACTTCTTCTTCTATGTGTTGTGACCCTTTGAGACTTTGGTGATCATGGCTCTTCACAATTTCCTGTTCTTTGTAGCTATAAGTAAATTTTGTCCTTTTGTTATCTCTCCTAAACCCTATTCTGCCATCCACTTACACTTACTCATTAGGAAGGTTAAACACTGTTTTTCCTCCATGCCTTTTGCCTTACTTATGTCTTGTGAGTGTCATATTTTCCAAGTCCTCTTTCCTTATGATGTCTCCTAGACATTTCAACTTGTCTTTATGATGGTAATATAAGTGTCTGTTGTGGTCTTGTTAGGGCCAAAAATGAAGACACAAGAGAGGAATTGATTTAAATAAATACATTAACAGAAACAGTAATACAAACATATAAAAAGGAGAGTGTTACAGCAAGAATGTTCGGTCCAACTGTCAGATCTGACTGCTGGAAACTTCCCTCTCCAAAAGGCAGTACCTGCTCCTATTTATAGCTGGGAGAGTCCATGCGTGCGTGGGTAAATTACTATAACAGTGTCATTTTTTTCGTCATTATTCATATGTATGGTTCATGGTATTCTCAGGATTCATGTTTCTTCTACATATGTGTTGAGATGGTCCAGCATTCACTGCCATATAGGAGTACTGATATTATTCAGTACTCTCTTCTTTGTGTCCAAATAAATATTCCAGTTTCTTAATACTTTGCTTAGCTTTTGATTGGCACCTTTCGCTATCCCAATGACCTTTCGAATTCCGACCTCACAATTTCTGTCCTCTGTTTAAAATACTTCTCGAATATTTAAATTGTTGTACTTGCTTGAGTTTGGTATCTTTAATTTGTAATTTGCATGTCGGCCTCTTCCTTTTGTTGAAAACCATGAATTCTGCCTTCATGCAATTGATGTTTAATCGTTTCTTTTCGCTTTCCTTCACTGTCTTTTTAGCTGTTTAGAGAAAAGTTGGATTAATACCTCTCTCCAGGGTTATTTGTGCGTAAATGAATATAACGAACCTGACTGGAATTGGAACACGATTCTCTGATTAACAATTCCCTTATCCATTGCATTACCTCCACATCTAAGCTTACAAACCTAGTATTCACAAGCGGTCACCCATATAGTTATTAGCCAGGTTCGACGTTACTTTACTTAGTCACATGGGAACGGATGTATCAACGTGATATAACCGTAGACCAGAAAAAGAAGATAAAAACGTTTCTATTAAACACAGGAAAGTCAAGAATAGCGGTAGTACCAATAATATTAATAATACCAACAAGCAGTAACTCAAACTTCTGACTATCTTAAACTTTTGGCTATAACGAAAACGTACCGTAATGTTATTTTTTTTAATTTTTTTCACTGTTGAATTGGTGCGGTTAACCCCAAAACGACATGTTGTTTTCTTTCTAAAGACGTTGCAAAAGTTAAGGTTTTAAAAAACGTGGAACTTTTTCGTACGGCAACCTGTGTTTCAAAATGATATGACGGTAAGTTGAATGAGAACGAGATAGAGAAGGAGTGAGAAAGAAAGAGAGTGGATATAGAAATCGGCACTGTACGGTAATTGTTAGTTTTTCTGCTCTAAGGTGTCATCAGAGAAAATGTTTCTACACCTTAGCAGACTATATATAAAATACCTTTGGTGTGGTCGGAAAGAGGTTGAGCGAAAGAAAGTAAAACCGGCCTTCCTTTATTTATTTATTTATTTATTTTATTTTTTTGTTTTGTTTTGTTTTGCTAGCCTTGTTGCTTACTTGTCTTCATGAACTTGTTTGAGCTGATTGGGTGGGTGAAGAAAAAAATGGTCCATAAAGAAGTCATGTCTATTTACGGTCAGCGTCTCCAGGCTGTTCATTTATGTCTGTGTTTCCTACTTTTCTTCCGAAGAGACAACCGTAAACTTGAAAGATTACATCAAAGGAATCTTTGTCAAACCATGTGGCACGACCGGATCACAAACAACGAAGTTCTCCTCCGCGCAATGATAAAGAGCCTGGAAGCCATCATGACTAGCCACCAATGGGCCGGATACTTTGCCCGAATGCCAGACATTCGCCTACGCAAACAAATCCTCCTTTCGCTGCACGCATCTGTCAAGAGACCACGTGTAGCCCCACTTCTTCGATTCAGTTATCTTTTCGAAAGCAACTTACTGAGGATAGAAATAGGTCAGTTCAATTGGAAGACGACAGCTGCAGAAAGAACTCATTGGAAAAGAAAAAAAATCCTTTGAAAACATCAGGAGACAAATAGAAGAGAGGAAAACAGACCAAAGAAAAGACAGAGTTCTCCATTCCCTGACCCTCCTACTCCACCATATGCGATGGCTGAGGACGTCTCTTCAGATCCAACATAGGATTCAGTTCAGAGAAAAAGAAATGTCGATGAGCATCCCAATACTCAGCAACGAGTTCCGCTTGCAATGATACCATTTGAAAAATTGTTATATTATTAAAATTACATTTTTTCCTGCTGTGTAACGTTTTTATTAGGTGTTTTTTAAAAAAAGCTTTGTTATACAATTTTATGTCGTGAAGTTGCTTTGGTCGTTAGTTTATCATTTTGGATCAAGCAATTATATTCGCTGATGATATGTTCGTTTTTTTTTTCTTTTGTGCTTTTTTTTTCCTGGATAAGACTGTTTTTCCTTTCATTCTTTTTATGGGGTTTTAAAATTTTACCGTTAAACTTAGGTTGTGCAGTGGTCGTTATGGGAATGAAACGTTTCTAGAATGTTTTTCTTTTTTATGGGCTTGTTTTGATTTCTTCATTAAAGGAGAAGGGTCTCTTCAACACACACACACACACACACACACACACACACACACACACACACACACACACACACACATTTAGTGCATTGGGGCAGCAGATCATTATTTAAACATATATCGTTAAATATAACAAACAACGAATGTCTATTATGTTTGATCAGGAGCCGTTCAAAAATTCGTATAGTTGTTTTAATTTCAGGAGAAAATAAAGACAAAAGCTGTTCAATATTTGGATATTTTTTATTATGCTGTTCCTTGATCGAAGCTTTCGGCTCACACGAGACATCTTCAACATAGTAGAATATCATCTCTGAAATTGAATATCTTTGTTTAAATGTCCATATAAAAAAACTCTGACGATGGCTCATGTGAGCCGAAAGCTTAAATCGAGGAACATCATGATAAAAAATATCCGAATGTTGGACAGATCTTGTTTTTATTTTTTTCCCCAAATTAAAGCAACTATACGAAGTTTAGAACGGTTCATGATTAAACATAATCGGCATTCGTTGTCTGTTATATTTAACAATATATGTATGAATAATATATATATATGTGCGAAAAGTGTATATAAATATAAATAAATATATATATGTATAATTATTTATATATTACATGCGCGGTACTTATTACATGTATATACATACATTCGAGGAAATATTACACGTATATACATACATGCGAGGAAATATTTTTCAGCGGAAAAATACATAATATGACATGTATACATTCACGAGACATTAACGAGACATTTTCGCCACACTTCCAATGTTTAAATTTCCACATTTCAACATACAAATGCGTATGTATAGACATAACACCACCCGTATACATACATATGTCATATCCAAAACTGCCCACATATGTATGGACGACCAAGTATGTATATGTGTCTGCATACATCGATGTTTGCGTTAGTACGATGAATGACAAAACGACGAAGTTTCCCCCACCACTTCCACAATAACACCAATACACGCAATCTACATAAACCCAAATTTTTAAAACCATTAATCTGTTTGTCTGACGATCGCTAAAGCGTGAAACCCAGGGTCACAAACTCACATCTATCCAACCAAATATATATATATATATATATATATATATATATATATATATTCTCGACCCGACATTTCAAAGTTTGGCGAAGTGACCAAACATCCTTTAATGCTGGACATTTGGAAAGCTGCCCAAATATGCACGACGTCTAAGTTATTTTCTAATAAAACTGGCATAGATACGGTTCGGCCATAAAGTATGTCTTCTTTTCTATTCTGACGATCTATCTTGTCTGAGGTTAATGCTGATGATATGGCTGAACGTTCCTGTCCTTAACTTATAGTTTACTTTGCCTTGATGCAGATAACAGTTTGGTAAAATGGCGTCTGGCATTCACCGAAGCTAAATGACCGGAAACCAAGATGTTCAAGGAGATCAAACAGTGAATGTGAGCATAGTCGAGCGTTGGGTAATGAGTTTTAACATTACCGACAAAAAAAGTATCTATAACAAGAGACATTAGTTGTCGAAAATGCATTGCGAATGGTTGTATATAAAACTTACTTAATCCAATGGTATTATTGCCTTTTCTTTAGGCATTCCCTGGAGGTAAAAGGCGTTGATTTTGGAACATGCCTTGCACACACACACACACACACACACACACACACACACACACACACACACACACACACACACACACACACATACACATATCTATCTATCTATCTATCTGAGAGATGCATGAATTACTTCAAGAAATAAATATGACCAAATAACCAAACACCAGAAAAATTTTAAGTGCTTAGAAAGCTTGTCTCACTAGGACAATTACGACTGAGTAGTGAGTTCAATCCTCACTGGGTGACGTATACTTTCGTCCTTGTATCACAACTAAGCTACGCTTAGAAAATACTCATTACCTGATACCGAAAGCGTTCGGCTTTCACTTTAAAACACTGGTTCCCGTACGAGCACCTAAGTTAAGCAACGTCGAGCCTGATCACTTCCGAGATGGGTGACTGCTTGGGGATACAAGTTTCTGTAGGCTTGGATGTGCAGGTGGCGTAATGAATAACAGCTCAGGATTGGAAGTCGGAGATCAGAGTTCCTATTCCAGTCAGGTTTGTTATATACAAATTCGTGTAAATATCCTATGGGATAAATAGTAGAACTTCCATCCATAAATCATTATTATCTCCAAAATATTTTTATAATCTGAAAAATATTTCCCGGCTTTAAATAAACTGCAAATGGTTAATAAGCCGTAAAAAAAAAAAAACAATCAGTCCATCAAACCTAAGACACTTCATATGAAGGGGAAAGTGCCGATGGTAATGAACTATTTCTGGATTCTGGTCCCAAGTACATGGGAGTCCCACACCTTAAAAATAATTATGTTGTATTCTAGATCAGCTAAACTCCAATTGTTTCGTGAATTGGTCGGGAACTTTTCAGCACCCTGTCGTCTCAGCTTGGTTGATGTTACTAGAAATCCGAGCGAATGACACGACTAAGAATCCTATCGATATTGTTAGTGATGTAAAAAATGCTGATAATTCTGATAAAAATTCAAAAATATCCAAGTACAAAACTGTCTTTTTAACAAACATAAGTGATTGTAATAACATGAGCACTCGAACTGACATTGACATCGCCTGTTTAATCAGATGATAGATCGAAATTGCCATAACCGCTCTTTCTTTTCTCACTGTCTTTCTATCTACATCGGAAGTTGGCTCACTTTGATTTAATCCTGGGCGACATAATATATCTTTGATCTTTATCTGATATCCATTGATCAAGAGATGACATTCATTCCTTTAGTGATTAGAACGATCACTCTTAATTAGAATACACAGACTCCGACGTACCAATGAAGGTATCCATAAATAAACTTTAGTGTGATTTCCTGTTATTAAAAAAAATATGTGAATGCAGCTGTCAGCTCATCATCAAAACAATTACTTATAATAAACTAGTGATGTAATTCCGGTGTAAAAATCATAAAGCTATTAAAACAATGTTTTATATTTATTTCCTTGGGGTGCGGAATTTTATTTTTTGCAATAAAAGACGGTCATATTAAAAATAGAATCGGACTATATGAACGGCAAGAAATAAAAAAATCAAATGAAAATTCTGTGTTTCTCCGTTATTTGTAACTTAGCACGTTCATTATGCTGTAGCTTAGTTTTGATGGACTGATTGGGTTTTTTTTACGGCTTATTAAGCATTTGCAGTTTATTTAAAGCCGGGAAATATCTTTCAGATTATAAGAATATTTTGGAGATAATAATGATTTATGGATGGAAGTTCTACTATTTATCCCATAGTTGGGGTAGAAGAATATGTTTCCGAAGGGTATTTGCACGAATTTGTATATAACAAACCCGACTGGAATAGGAACTCTGCTCTCCGACTTCCAATCCTGAGCTGTTATCGATTACACCACCTGCACATCCAAGCCTGCAGAAACTTGTATTCCCAAACGGTCACCCATCTCTTTACTGGCAGGCTCCAAGCTCTCGGGACCAGTGCTTCAAAGTGAAAGCCGAACACTTCGGTATCCAGGCAATAGTATTTTCTAAGCGTAGCTTAGTTGTGGTACAAGGCCGAAAGTATAGGGCACACTGTGAGGAACACCCCCCCCCACGCGCACTTGGGACCAGAATCCAGAAACAGTTAATTCCCATCGGTACTTTCCCCTTTATGTAAAGTGCCTTAGGTTTGATTGATTGATTGGTTTTTTTACGGCTTATTAACCGTTTACATCGGTTTATTAATGGTGGACAAAATTGATAATAGTGGATGTTTATACATATGATTAATGCAACTATTCCAGTGGTGTAATCGATGAACAATTGCATACTGGGACAGGAAATGTTACTCACTACATCTCGATCGTCTGCCACACATCCGGAAGCCAGCAGCATTTTCAGGACTTCAATATTTCCCTTCTTTGCCGCTAGGTGGAGTGCTGTGGCTCCATCCTGCAAGAAATCAACGAATTTAAAGCAGTTTGATTTATTTGCCAAAAAAAGATTAATGATCAGTTTTCATTTCCTAATCTATTTTAATCAAAGATCAAATTAAGCCACGAACAAATATTTAAAAATAAATGAAATAAATACTTCCGGGTTTTCCAAATAATTAGTGTTAAATATAATAAGTAACTTAATTTTCGCAAACACGATGTTTAGATGAATAGAACAGCATGCAATTAGTTTTAGTATTAACCCTAGAACACTAACCAAGGGTATATAGTACCCATCGTAAACTTTCCTATTTTTAATTACAATTTTCAGTACCTGATATTCTTACCTAAATAATATGTTTTCAGTTCCTATTAATGTTAACTAAAAGTACAAAGTTTGAGGTGCCTGCATGAAGAATATTTCAGATAAAGATTTATATTTAATATTTTTTTTGATATTTTCAAAATCGGGTATGATATACCCATGGTTAGTAGTGGTGTAACTTTAATTGATCGTTAGTATTCTAGGGTTAAGGAAATACGATAATCCATTGGAAATAGCCACATGAATTTGAGACCGATAGAAAGTATTTTCATTACTTTGTTACAGGATAACAAATTAGGGACAGTGAGCAGTGCCACAGGTAATGTAAAGGGGGCTTCTGATCACAAAGAGTAAATTTTAAAGAAGATCTGAAGAGAAAGATGACTCTCATAAGGGAGAGAATTCCTCGTCCCAACCAAAAGGTCCTTCAAAGATTGGGCTGAGAACCTTTTAGCACACTCTCGCATAAAGAACACACATACACACACACATATATGTGTGTGCGTGTATATCATATATATGGATATGCGGATGGTGTAATGAATATAAACAAACTTTTTATTTTAGGGGTTAACTTACTTTTCGCATCAGTCTGTTTATATATATATATATATATATATATATATATATATATATATATATATATATATATATATATATATATATATATATATATATATATATATATATATATATATATATATAAAAAATATTTTATAGAGTACAAAATTTAATGATCGAAATAAAAGTATAAAACTTAATATTACGAGACATATTTAAAAAAACAGGCAAAGCAACCGGTTTCGCTCCGCTCTACAGCTTCAACTTGGGGGAATTTAAAATTAACACAGATAAATGTACAATAAAAAGGAAGTTGTGAAAAAAAAAGAAAAAAAAGCGAAACAGGTTGCTATGCCTGTGTTTTTTAAATATATCTCGTAATATTAAATTTTATACTTTTATTTCGTATATATATATATATATATATATATATATATATATATATATATATATATATATATATATATATATATATACGAATAGTAATACTCGTTTTGAAAAACCTCTATTTGGCTCAAATTGAAATATAACAAATTGAGGTCAGAGGAAAAATTGGAAACAAAAAAAAAAGAAACAAGAACATAACACTGCATGAATCCTTGAGGCTCCAAGTCCAAATGAAAAAAAAAACAAAATGAGTAAAAGACTAAACATAAAATTACTCAATATATATATATATATATATATATATATATATAAAACACTTGAGGCTCTTATATATATATATATATATATATATATATATATATATATATATAAGTGCCTCAATGTTTCATATATATATATATATATATATTCTACATGAGCATATATATATATATATATATATATATATTTTTTTTCATATATATATATATATATATATATATATATATATATATATATATATATACAGTAGTAATCGTTGGTATATCATCAGTGAATACTATTAAGCTATATTCTACATAGATCTCAATGTATTTTTTTTTAATAAACAGAGCAATATATTTCATAAAATCGAAATTAAGATACCATAATGTTTCTACAGAGAGCTCAATGTTTTTTTAATAAACATTATGGTATCTTAATTCCGACTTAATTACACGGTGGAGTAATGGATAGCGGCTTGGATTGAGGAATCGGAGAGCCGAGTTCGAATTTCAGTCGAATCCATTACATTCACTTACGTGCTAATATCCTTGGGAAAGGTGTGAATCCTCTTCTTCTCTCTCCATCTATGGGTAAATAGCAGGACAGACTGGGTTCTATAGCCTTGGATGGCAACTGGTCTTGGAGAAGGAAAAAGGGTGAATGGAGTCTCTCTGAGCCTTGGTTGGCAATCCATTTAGTGATGGTGTCACGATAAAAACACCCTGATAGCCCTAGCGAAGCATCAAGAATTCAGCTATTTGACAAGATTATGAACTACACCAATCAAAGTATTAGCTATGACAGATAAGGAATACTAGAAATGTGTAGTGAGTTCAATCTCGGCTGAGGCCGCAAGATGATGATGAATTCCGACTGCATGAAATATATTGCTCTTCTTATTACAAAAACATACATTGAGCTCTATGTAGAATATAGTGTTAATAGGATTCACTTGGATGATATACCAACGGATTACTACCTATATATATATATATATATATATATATATATATATATATCATAAAATGATAACAAATAGAATATGATTCCACTGTACGTATCATTTAATTTAAAAGAGGGCTCGACACAGGGTAGCGCTAAATATTATTTTGTTTTAGGATATTAAAACATGTTAAAGTCGCTATACAATTAAAATTATGTTTCAACATCATAAATGTGTTTCTTCAGGCGATGTTAGACTACTGGCGAGTAAAAGATTAAATTTCAAAAGGCAGAATTCTTTAAAAAATATACTTGTGCGCTTTGCCGTGATTAACCAATCGAATGAGACCTACGCTAAATTGAGTAGTTTAAAATCGCCCGAAGAGACACATTTATGATGTTGAAAAACACACACACACACACGCACACACACACATATATATATATATTAAGGAATTACATATAATCTTTTGCAGAATCTATATAAGTATACAAAAATCTTATTAACACAAATTTCTTTCTTTCTTTTTCTATCTTTATGGGAATGCTGAAAAGTCCACGAGCAAACGATCAGACTTTGTTTTGCAAAGTCTTCACAATCGGCCCAAGAACTTTTCAGCACTTCGTGTATATTCTATAATGATGTGTGTCTAATACAGGGAAACTAAATATCAACTTTTAAAAGAATAAAACAGTAGATTGAAGTATAAGCAATAGAAAAGTCTTGAAATTAGTAAAACCGACTTTGTCTTTCATGTGAAGGTTGCATTTCATAGCAATTAATTTGTCCAACAGCTTCAAGGCATCCATTGTCAGTCGCCAAGTGGAGAGACGTACGGTCATTCTGAAATCAGAAAAAAGTAAATCATGTTGAAATCGCTATTGACATATACACACACACACACACACACACACACACACACACACACACACACATATATATATATATATATATATATATAAGAAAAAATATAAAATGTGAAATTCAGGAGTCAGGATTCTGAATGTAACACCAATCATTCAGTGACAGACATTATAGTTGTATTTGTTCTTTCTCCCTCTCTGTGAGGTCACCCCAGGTATTTTTTTTAAATTGGCCTCCAAAGAAGTTATTTTGTATTTAAATGAGAGAAAATTATTATACATTGTTAAAAAATTGTGAGACATGATTTTTATTAGAAGTTTTATTAGGGCAAAAAGAAAAAGAAATATTTTGTGATTACATATTTCTCTCGTCAAAATATCCTACTTTTTGATTACTTAAGCACACATTTTTGGCATTCGTCGCCGAAGTTTCTCAATGTATAAGTTTGATTCTAAGAACCCGTTTTCATTTTTCTTTTCACTCTTCTGTCTTCTGTTCCATCCCATGCTAATTCTGGGAATGGCCTCAAATTTTTTAACTGTAGTATATATATATATATATATACTGTAGTTATTTTTATAACGAAGTATATTTTTTAGTTATATATATATACTGTAGTTTTTTTTAACTATAGTATATATATATATATATACTGTGTCATATATATATATATATATATATATATATATATATATATATATATATATATATATATATATAAATATTTTAGTAGGCCTCAACCATTACCATCTGTCTTCTGTCCATTCCATACTAATTCTGAGGGGTGGCCTCAAATTTTGAACTGTAGTATATATATATATATATATATATGTATATATACTGTGTTATATATATATATATATATATATATATATATATATATATATATATATATATATATATATATAACACAGTAGGCTTTATGCAGTATTTAGGCCTCCAACCATCAGCAGTTCATAAAACAACGATTGAAATGCTACAGAAGCTTCTGCTTCTGTAGCATTTTAATCGACACAATTTGTACTCATACAGTAAGTTTACTCGACATAGTTTTATTGTAATCATTTTCATTGGGCTTAAGTGTAACAATGTATTGAAAGAAAAATTATCTTGAAAAAAAGAGTCCGAAATAAGTCAATATTTTTTAATATACTAAGTAGGTTATTTCGTTAGATAATCGGACCAACAACCAACCAAAAAATGTATCATTTCATGTGTGACAACCTAATACTAAGCGGTGACTTCGTTAGGCGACCATTCCAACAACCAATCAAAATGTGTCATTTCATGTGTGACAACCTAATACTAAGCGGTGACTTCGTTAGGCGACCATTCCAACAACCAATCAGAATGTCTCATTTCATGTGTGACAACCTAATACTAAGCGGTGACTTCGTTAGGCGACCAGTCCAACAACCAATCAAAATGTGTCATTTCAAGTGTGACAACCTAATACTAAGCGGTGATTTCGTTAGGCGACCGGTCCAACAACCAAGCAATAAATGTGTCATTTCATGTGTGACAACCGAATACTGAAGGGGTTACTTCGTTAGGCGATCGGACCAACAACCAACAAAAAAAGTGTCATTTCATGTATGACAACCTAATACTAAGAGGGTTACTTTCTTAGCGACCTGACCATATCAACCAACCAAAAAATGTGTCATTTCAAGTGTGACAACTTAATACTAAGCGGGGTTCTTCGTTAGGCGACCGGACCAACAACCAACCAAAAAATATGTCCTTACATGTGTGACAACCTAATATTTTTTCTTTTCCAGAAATTCGAAAGCCAACGAAAATTCTTTTTGAAATGTAACCTCGTAGAATGAATTTTCATGAACATTTTTTTTATTTGGTATCTTTTGAATCCATGGGAAGAACGCGTAAGCAACGAACACGTTTTAATATGTACGGGAACAAAACAAATGTGCACTTAAACACAAAATCAGAAGGAGCCAGCTGAAATTTCTTGGACACATAATGAGGAAGGAAGACTTGAAGAATATAAGAGTCACAGAACATATCGTACAGAAAATGACGCAGCGGACCATTTTTCTTGACGAACTTGAGTGAATTGATGTCTGAACGGGGAGCTTTGAGTCCTGTCAAAAGATCAAACTTAGCAATGGAACAGATGGTTGTGGAGAGACATAATAGCCCACATTCTGAAGGCCTACGTAAATTTAAAACCATTTTTTTCACCCTTGGAAATGTGATCTGATGAACCAGGTAAAAACCACCTACCTGGGGAAATAAAATATAATCAATGGACCCTTAAAGTTGTCTGTTTCCTAATTAAATTGAATTAATATAATATATATATATATATATATATATATATATATATATATATATATATATATATATATATAAAAGTGAACATTAGAGTCAACACTGAGAGGCGTCAGACCACCCGACTGGTGTCCTGACGATTTGGCGTCTAGCGTAAACAGCTTGTCGCCTCTCAGTGTTGACTTCAATATTTCACTATATTTACACACGCTCTATCTCTGACCTCTGACATTGATCACTTTATCCCATAAATATAGCACACCTTAAGAGTATATTTCTTCATATATATATATATATATATATATGAGATAAGGATATATAATTTTAATATATGAAGAACAATATTGTCGCCAAATGTAGTGAGTAACATTTTAATCAGTAGCCATTTACTTGGTTCAGAGATAGTTAAGTATTTATCGTTTAGTTTTTTAGTCTATAATCATTTAATTGGTTCGGGAATAGGTAAATATTGGTAGTTTATATTTGAGTTTATAACCATTTAATTTGTTCGGGGATAGGTAAATATTGTTCGTTTATATTTGTGTCTCTAAGCAGTTATTTAGTTCGGAATAATAGTGTCGTTTTATAGTCCCAGTAAACAGAAATAGCTCTCTAAAAGAGGAGAGTAACAAAACAAGGAGAAACCACTCTTGATTATTCATAACACTTGGATCAAAGATGGGAAATATTGATTTTTTATATTTGAATTTATAATCATTTAGTTCGCGGAGATAGATAAATATTGTGGTGTATATTTTCTTGATAGAAGACTTCCTCAAAAAGGGATTTTTTATGAACTCTTCTCCTTTCGTTTAGTTCTCGTGTTGAATAATTATTACAAGTTACAGATTTAAAATTCTCACTGTCGTAATGATTAGCAGACATTGTGACATATACACGATAGCATTTTCACAAAATAAGCTAGTCAGGGTCATTTTAGAGTCATGTTGTTGAATATTTGACGAAACTAAGTATTGTAAATAACAATAATAAATAACAAAACGTGACTTGAATGCAATGAAATCCTTTTGTTATAAAGGAAATATTGAATTTTTTTCGGATTCATAGCATCTCTTATTACCTACAAATGCAAAGGGACAGGAGGTCTTATGACTTGCAAGATAACAAAAAAAAAAAATCTATAAGATTATAATCCGGGGTATTCAGAAATTAAATGTATAGCTTAAAATGTCCGATCTTAACAACTTTGAGTGGCCTTTTCCTCTGAAATATTGCCCTTGATTTATAAGGACGGGGTTAGCCAAACTAATTTATTCACATTTTTATTTTGGAAAAAGAACCTCAAGTATTTCACCTCCACGGGGACACGGTGGAGTAATGTATAGCGGCTCGGATTGAGGAATCGGAGAGCCGAGTTCGAATTCCAGTCGAATCCATTACATTCACTTACGTGCTAATACCCTTGGGAAAGGTATGAATCCTCTTCTTCTTTACTATGGGTAAATAGCAGGACAGACTGGTTTCTATAGCTTTGGATGGCAACTGGTCTACCGCAGAAAGAAATGGCAACCTACAAAAAAAAGAAAATCTGCCTCGTCAGTCATGTATCGAAAGATACATGATCGCCTAAGCATGTATCACTCATGGCACATAACTGACTGATTTCGCCTTCATTTTAAATTAGTTTGGCGAAAGGCCATAATAATGGAGCATCTTCTTTATGTGTTGTGTCCCCTCAGAACGTAAGCGATCATGGCTTTCCACAACTTCCTGCCCCTTGTAGCTTATAATAAACATTGTCTTGCTGTTATTTCTCCTAAATCCTGTTCCGCCATCCATTTACTCAAGCTCACTAAGTATATTATGCATTGTTTACCTCTGTTCTTGAGGACACATGACACAGTGGATAAAGGCGTTGGTTAGATCCAGTGACAGGGCCCAAAGAGTGTGATTTCAATACCCGGTTAAGGCAATGGAGAACTTGGAGAGGAATTAACAGGAGATGGTGACAACATGACATCCATTAGACATGGCGTGGAACTAGAACAGTCTGCTGATGGTGAGCGAAATAAAGGGTTCAGTTCGACGATTCCAACCACCTGAAGAAGACCGGGTGTACAACGTCCGAAACGTTATGTAATAAATATGGCGACAAAGATAAGGACAATAGTTCGAATAATGTAAATAGTTTATATAATACCTCATCTCAAATATAGACAGATACTGAAAGGCCGAAACGTTATAATAAATATGGCGACAAGATGAGGGACAATAGTCCGAATAATGTAAATAGTGTATATAATACCTCATCTCAGCAATATAGACAGATACAGAAAGGCCGAAACGTTATAATAAATATGGCGACAAAGATGAGGACAATAGTCCTGAATAATGTAAATAGTTTATATAATACCTCATCTCAGAAATATAGACAGATACTGAAAGGCCGAAACGTTATAATAAATATGGCGACAAAGATGAGGACAATAGTCCGAATAATGTAAATAGTTTATATAATACCTCATCTCAGAAATATAGACAGATACTGAAAGGCCGAAACGTTATAATAAATATGGCGACAAAGATGAGGACAATAGTCCGAATAATGTAAATAGTTTATATAATACCTCATCTCAGAAATATAGACAGATACTGAAAGGCCGAAACGTTATAATAAATATGGCGACAAAGATGAGGACAATAGTCCGAATAATGTAAATAGT